CCACTACCATTATGACACCATCGCCACCATCATTATTGTGTCACTGTCACCATTACCATTGTGTTGTCGTTGTCGCTATCATCACCACCACCACCACCATTGTGATGGTGGTGGTAGGAATAATGTAGTTACGTGGATGGTTAAAGCGAAGGGCAAAATAATAATAATAATAATTTTTAGACTTTAGCACTTTATATTTATCAAACAGTTTGATTTAATTCAATACTTAAATTTCAGTTGATACAAACAGTCTACGAATTAAAAAATTAAGCATTCAACACTTAAAATTCAACATTCAGTTTTCAATGTTTAACTTTCAATTTTATCAAACATCACCTTATTATATTAAAAAAGATCAATGACTTAATATTTAGTAACCATTTAAGATGTAATCACATTGATTAGTGTCACTCGTACTCACAAAGACACTTGTTGGATTATTTTGATGATTGTAGAAAAAAAAAAAGTATCTTTTTCTTTTTAAAAAAAAATAGGGATACAAATATAATTTATATCAAAAATAGTTTGTTGACTTATAATTCATTTTTATTGTGATATCATATGAAATTAATATTTGCGACCCATAATTTATTTATAGACATAAGGTTTAGATTATAAATACGAAAAAAAGATGACGATAATATTATCACAAATAAATCTTTATGATGAAATGATTCAATTTTTGAGTTTTGTGCACAAAATTAATTTTTTCGACGGCATTGCATAAAAATTAAATTTAAAGCTTCTTTATAAATAAAATTTTATCATTAACGATGACCATTGAATAACCTCATGAAATTAATTTTTGCATATGTCGTTGTTTGCCTCCCTCAAGATAAAATCTTGGTTTTGTCCCTCCTATATAGATACAAGTCGCTGATTCTATTTATTAATTTATAATTGGTTGAAGATACCATGGGTTAGAGAATCTCTAATTCTTTCCCTTTTTTAAATTTAAATTTGGATAAAATATTCTTTAATACTAGACTCATATTCTTAACAAATAAAAAGAGACTCATTTTTTTTTACTCAAATTTTTAATGGTAAGATTACACCATCCTTTAAAGATCCAATGATCATATTTTACTATTTTTTAAATATAAGTTTATCCTCATTTAAATTTTGATTTTTTTTCATTTAAATTTGAGTTTCTCCACCAGAGAGGTCTAATACCAATTCAAGATTTTTACTCAATTTTTTTTTTACTCAAATTTAGGTAAGAATTTAAGTTTCTATTAAAGATGGTCTTAATGATAATTTGGTATCACTATTGTGTTGAATATTTTCTCAAAAGAAAGAGGGAAAAGAGATGGACAAAAATTGTAGTTGCCCAAAGAAGCAAACATGTGTTTTTTTACTTATTTAACTTTAAGGGGTAGCTCAAGTGATAACAAGAACGAGCTATAAATTTAGACGTTCTAAATTCGAATATTGACAACCCCTTGAGGTCAGATCATGGGAGATTTATCCATCATGAATACCCTAAATCCAGCGTGGATGGTCTGTCTTTGACCAAATTGAGGAGATAAATAATCGAGGTGCACGTAAACTGACTCGAATACCACTAACTATTAAACTAAACAAAAAAAATTAAAGAGAAGAGACGCAATTTGGCCAATTTTGTATGACATCTCTCAACTTCCTAACTTCTCATTATAATCAATCAATGCTATATACTAAGCAAGAAATTGGTCTTCGTGTATTCATTAATTACACAAAGATGTATTTCAAAATGATAAAAAGATCCATTGAGTTTTGATTGTGATAACAAAATGACCCGACCCGTCCCAGTTAATTATATTAAATTGTCACAACGACATAATTATCATTAGATAAAAATAGGAGAAAGTAAAGAATTACATTTATTTATTTGTGTCGAATTTTTCCCTGTTCCTATAATACTCTTGACTGGTAGGAGATATTGTTAAGGAAAGTTTGTAGTAAATTCCAAAATTTGGAAAGAATGACTTTAATTGATATTAACTCTTGCTCTATTTCTTCTCATAATCGAAAATCATTTTGATTATGCATTTTTTGACTTTATGGTTGCCGTATAGTAAGAGAAATTATCATATTAACTAATACGAGATAATTTTGTATAAACGAATAAAATATAAGATTAAATATAGAATAAAAATAATACTCATTGTATTATAACTTAATGTTTAGTGAGACACTGGACAAGGGTGAGATGATAAGAGTGGTTTTCAGGTGGGTTTCGAATGGAGTTTTGTTTTTTCCTTAAAACTTTAATTGCTGGTGATGATCACCGGAACAATAAAGGGAAGAATTACATAATGGTCAACAAAGTCAAGTTCAAGCAAAAAAGCAATGCAGTGACTTAAAACATACCCTCAACTGTTCCCACACAAAAACTTAAAAGGCTCTACCAATAGAAAAAGCAATAAAGGATACATCATTTTATTCTCAAAATTCATTTGAGAGAATTTCTCACAAATAAACCAATTAATAACATGCATATTAAATTTAAAAAAAATTCCAACAATCACTAATTGATTTTGAATAGTGAGAAAACATAGCAAAAGGACAAAACTTACCAATTCCAACTAGGGCTGTTAGCCGAATTCGATCCAAGCCGAGCTTGAAAAGCTTGTTTCTTAATCTAGTTTTAAAAATTGTTCAAGTTTGACTCGTTTAGGAAATGAGCCGAGCCTGAACGAGCCAAACCCGAGTCGAACCCGAGCTGAGCCCGAGTATTTGCATATAAATGAGCCGAGCTTGTTGAGCTTGAGTTGAGCTTGTAGAACTTATTTTCTAAACAAGCCTAAAAATTTGTTCAAGTTCGAGTTCGTTTAGAAAATAAATTGAGCCTGAATGAGTCGAATTCAGACCAAGTTCGAATAGCTCAGTTTGATTAACGGCATAATTCCAACTACAACTCACATTTACTTCAAATCCTCCTTGGGTCTTGGGAATGTCCAGAGGAAACTTCAATTCTTGATATCCATCCCTTGAAACTGAGTGTCTGCCTTAAAGTTATTATTATTTTTTTTCTAAGTTGTCGCACAATCTTCTTTTGCTATTTGATCACATCCTTCTAAGGGATTAAGCTTTTGCTCTCTCATATAGGTTTTGCATATTCTCGCTATTGCATATGATTTTCTCGAACAACCTCTTTCATGTTTTCTATCTTAATCTAACATATGATATTGTTCACGAGGTGAAGTAATCATGGTGAGATTCAAAAATGGATACTATGGTAATGGAAGTGTTTTTGGATCCGAATAGAGATTTTGCATTGGATGATCCTATTATAAATTATAATTACCCAGTTCAATGTTTCAAAAGCAATCAAAGACCAACATCCTTGTCAACTTTGGGGAGTGTGGTATAGCCCCATCACTTGAGTCGTTTCATTGTCAGCATAACTTGCTGCCTTAATCTTATCACTTCTTCTGTTAAGCATAAATTTCCCTCAATAATAGGTGTAATTTTTTGACAGACCACACTCTAAGTTTGTTTAGCAACCTGCTAGTCAAGAGAGCTACGAGAATCTAAAAAGAATTGAGTGGGCACACACAAGCGCAAATCAATTACAAATTTATGATAGAATGTGATACAAACAACTCTCAAATGCAAAAATTGCATTCATCTAATAACATAAGACAACCCTAACAATAATATAGCAGTTTATTTGATAGAAATTTAGGTTCCTAAAAGAATAAACAGAGATGAATAGAGAGAGATAGAGACAAATCTATTATATATGATCCACATAATATACAAATCCAAAAACAACCAGACAAAATAGAAGTTGAAAGAAAACATGACGAGTTCATACTTGTTTGAAATGGATTGGGTCAAATCTACAACAATTAGAAAAATGAAGAAAGAAGAAAATCGTCAATATATCGCTGGTGATCGTCTAACTCTCCGGCATCATCCTCCTCAATGGTCACAAAAAACTGAAGAATAGTTGTTGACAGACTCATGAGAGAGTTATCGAGAAAGTCGACGGGTCAGAGAAAAAAAATGAGATAGAAGTGGTTTGACTAAAGTGATTTTGAATAAGCAAAAATCTTATATTTTAATTTTTACTATTAGGCTTATTTAAGTGGTAAAAAATAATTTTTATTTTTTTTAAAAGTACTTCTAATAAGTTATTCCAAACATTATTTTTTTTTTTATGAAAATACGTATGATAAGTTAAAGTTTAATAAACACTTTTTTTTAAGTGACCCCAAACACACTCTAATTAAATATTGATAATGAACTCATCAATTTAATCTAGTTATGTATGTTTTTGTTTAATTGATAGGCAAGATAGTAAACTATAACTTAATACAGTTTTATTGTATTATAATATACCATATCTTCAAATGGTATCAGAATTGATTCAATACTACAAATAGAATGCATTATTTGTATAAAAAACGAAATATTTTTAGCAAGCAAACGTAGTATAAAATTAAATTAAAAAATTTTAATTTGTTATAACTCATTAATACGTTCCTTAATGTTACAATTAAACGACCTAAAATATATCCTTATAAAAATATCTTTTACAGAAGTTAGGTAATCGGATTTTTTTTATTGTGAAAATTAATTTTTTGTGTTATTATTACCAAAACAGTATAAGAAAAAGCATCAAAGTTGTAGAATCTCCTTACCATATTTAAAGAAAAATCTAAGTACCGAAAATGCCGAATCCTAGGTTAAGACATTGTTGAATTGAATTATCGGATCAGGAGTTTAGATTTCGTCGTTCTTGGAGGGCACTTTAGACATTTCACTCAAAGGAAGTTACCACTAACACGAGTAGTCGCCCAACCTTAGCCAAAGTGCCTTAAGTAAGGCCAGTTCTCTGTTGGCTTCAAAACCAACCGAATCTAAAGTGTTTACGTGGCAGCCTGGGACTCTTCTTTTAGGGAACAAGAGCATAACATCTGTCACTATCACTCTGTCTTTCTCTCTCTACATCTCATCATTTTCTATGTCTATACCTATATCTATATCTATCTGCAATAAAGTCGGTCAATTAGCCTCCTATTATTAAGGGAAATTACTTATTTTTATTCATTTAACAATTTTTTATGTTAAAATTAGTTATTCTATTTAAAATCTCCGCAGCACTAGTTGGAAAACCAAAACCCTAAAAAGGGTTTCGCCGCCGGAATTGGTTTCCCATATCGCTTTTCTTACACACAACCCACCACCACTCTTCAGCTCACTGTTCTTTTACGTCCTCCGGCAACACCTTATTTTGTCGCGGTTTTCTGCAATTTCAATGTGAAATAATGTTGACAAACTCTAATTTATGGTTCTTCAATTGATGATGAAATAGTTGAATATTTATGGCTCTTTCATGGTTGATCAATCATATTTTTGGTTTGTTTGGTATAAAGAGATGTTCTTGTTTGAAGGTTGATGGCCAAAGATTGGGTTTTTAGGGGTTTAGATTATGAATTTTTCAGGCTGTAGTTTTCTATATATGAGTTCTTGAGTGTTCAGCTTATAGACTATGAAGTTTTGGTTTTGTAGGTTTTTTTGGGATTTTTAGGGGTTGTGGAATGAGTGAATAGGCGTGGTTTGTGAAGATGTTGTCTGAATTGGGTAGGAGACCAATGCTTGGAGATAATGAACATTCGTTTGGAGATGAATTTGAGAAGGAGATAGGAGTATTGCTTCGTGAACAGCGGCGACACGAAGCCGATGATCGTGAAAAGGAGCTGAACTTGTATAGAAGTGGGTCAGCCCCACCCACTGTTGAGGGTTCATTGAATGCAGTTGGTGGGTTGTTTAATCATGGTGGCGACGGCGGTGATAGCAGTGATGGTGCTGCCTTTTTGGAGTTTGCTCGGACTAAGAGTGGTAATGGGTTTATGTCTGAGGAGGAGCTTAGGTCTGATCCTGCTTATTTATCTTACTATTATTCGAATGTGAATCTAAACCCTAGGTTGCCACCACCTTTGTTGTCGAAGGAGGACTGGCGGTTTGCACAGAGGTTGCAAGGAGGAAGTTCAGCGATTGGAGATAGGAGGAAGGTGAATAGGAATGATACTGGTGCTGGTGGGATATCATTGTTTTCGATGCCACCAGGGTTTAGTTCGAAGAAACAAGATAGTGAGAATGACTCGCAGAAACTGCAAGTTTCAGCTGAATGGGGTGGCGATGGGCTAATTGGTTTGCCTGGGATAGGATTGGGTACCAGACAGAAGAGCCTTGCTCAAATATTTCAGGTGAATTTCTTGTATATTTACACTTCCATTTTTGTTTGTTTAATTCCATCTTTTAGTTTTGGGTACTTCCTGAGGTTGATTATGTATTACCGGATGTTCATTGATGATTGTTTGAATGACAAGAATTTATGACTTCTTCAATTGCCCATTGAAAATTATTGTTTGGGAGGAAATTTGACTTTTGTAGTGGTATCAAGTGCTAATTGAGGTATTTATTGGATGTGCAACCCTTGTACATGTGTTGTAAAGTGTTTTGGTGGGTAGAATCTCCATCTTATCAGCAACAACGGGTCTGTTGTTAGACAATTTATACATCTACTTATTAAAACTACATTAAAAACAAAAAAATTAAAACTACATTGGTTTCTGTTGGTTAATGGGAGTTTTTGGTTTGTTTTTCAATGTGCTGTGGTTTTTTGTTTGTTTTTAGGTGTGCTGTGGCTTTTTGTTATGATTATGGAGTGCCCTCATTTAGATTTGGAATTCCATTCTTTTATTCTCATCGATAACTTTTAGTAAAGGTACCACCAAGGGGTCAGGTGAGCTTTTGGGGGGGGCCGCAATAATTGCGAGCTTAGCCAGCATTGTGGTAGAAGGTATCATGGTGGCTTGGCTTTGGGGTGGTTTCTCTGGGAACAATGCCACCTTATATTATTTTTCACTCTTAATTATTCATTCCTCGTTTATTTTAATGGCCACCAGGCTACATTGCATCAATATAGATCAAATTATCCATTGGGTGTACATTCGAAGATAATTACCCTTGTTTTCTTTGGTTTCTTCTGGCAATCTATGCTATTGAATAGGTATTGTTGATCTTAGTTTGGACATGTTGACATGTCATACAGTACTGTTCCAGGATGGCATTCATTACAAATAAGATGCATGAACAAATATGAAATTAAAAACAATGGATGGTTCAGTTGTGGTGGCATATGTCATTGATGGCATGCATATCATTAATATTTGGTGTGTTGACCGGAACTGATCTTGTAATACTTTGACGATGCAATCTGCACCTTGCTCAAAGAGCAAGCCTTGTTTAAGAAAAAAGTGCAGTTGCGTCATGTGCCTTGTTGTTTGGGCTTCAAATAGTGAAGCACACTCAAGTGACAGCCTGAGACCCTGGAAGTATGTTTTATGTATTAGTTTTTATCTCGTGTTTGGCAAGCAGTATCATGACATCCTGTGGAGATAAATTTATTTGTTCATCACTGCTTCACTCCTCTTTTACACTGGACTCTGCTTATTTTGGAATCATTTCAGATCCTATTCCCCATTGAAGGTTATTCTACTGAAGTTTGAGTCGAGGGTATTATTCTGCACTTTGATATGATGTGACTGTGGAGGTGTTTGTTATGCTTGTTATGAACATATGTGAAATACAACTAACCTGAAGCTCTGTTATCTTGCTATTTTGAAGTTTGAACTCCATTCCTTCAAAATGACAAAACTCTTTCCATGTGATGTCAGATACATATTATCAATATGTCTTTATAGTGCTTATTGTTTTCTTTCAACTTTTCTCCTTTTCAATTTTGTTAGTTGAACATTGGGCCTCATGGTTTGATTCTTGTGCCTAAACTTGGAAATTATGGTTGACAGAGATGATAACTCTAGCCATCCCCAGGGGGGTGGTGTATCAAGTAGCAATGGAGACATGGCTAAGCATGTGATCTAAGACATTGCAGATTTGAGTCTGATGTTTAATGTTTATTGTTCCATATTGTTACCTAATTGAATAAATATGTTCTTGGCCAATCTGATGGGATGTGATTTTGACCTTGCCAATATACAAACTTGAGTTGTCCTTAGTGGACAACATGTGTTGAGCTTCAAATTGATCCAAGATGCGTGAGTTGCTGTCCTACTGTGCTGACATAGTTGTAATTTTAACAGGCAGGAACGTGTTCTTATACAATAATATTATTACCATTTTCTATGTTCTTTGTTGAATGTGAGTTCCCTGCTCTCCCTTCCGCCTGATTATGTTTTTTTTTTTTTAATATGAAGTTAAACCAGAAGAGCTCCTATTTTTATTAAATATTCTAAATAGTCCTCTCTAGTTTGTTGTTGTGCTTAACATATAGAGTATGTGCAGGATGATTTAAACCTTGCAACTCCTGCATCTAGACACCCTTCTCGTCCAGCTAGCCGTAGTGCTTTTGACGACAATGCTGAAATCTTAAATCCTGCTGAAACTGAGCTGGATCAACTGCATCGCAGTTTGGCAACTGTAGAGACTTTGCGATCTAATGCAAATGTTCAGAGTGTATCTGCTGCCCAACTTGTTGGCCAACCTGCATCGTATTCGTATGCTGCTGCTCTGGATGCTTCCCTGTCAAGAAGCACTACCCCTGATCCCCATCGCATTGCTAGAGCTCCTAGTCCTAGCCTTACTCCTATTGGCGCTGGGAGAGCAGGCAATTCAGAAAAGAGAGGTGTTAATAGTCCAATCTCTTTTAACAGTGTCTCCTCTAATGTTAGTGAGTCTGCAGATTTGGTAGCTGCATTATCTGGCATGAATCTGTCAAATGGTGTAATAGATGAAGAGAGGCATTTGGCATCTCAGATGGAACAAGATGTTGATGACCACAAGAAATATCTTTTCAATCTTCCAGGTGGTCAGAATAATGTGAAGCAACATTCATACCTAAAGAAATCTGAATCTGGGCAATTGCATATGTCTTCTGTGCCTCAGTCGGCAAACATTTCCTACTCCAACCCTAGTGCGAGCAATGGGGTTGGGTCACGCTTACGTGAACCTTCTCTCCAAGCAAAGCTTCACAAATCTGGTGTTTCTTTGAATAAGTCAGACCTAGAAGGATCTTCTGCCTCTCCTCTTCATGGTGGAGGCGGCTTACTTTCACACTATCAGCTTGTGGATGGTGCAAATTCTTCAATTTCAAACTATGGTTTAAGTGGTTACTCCATTAATCCAATGTCCACCCATCTTGGCAATAATAATCTTCCTCCTTTATTTGAAAATGCTGCTGCATCGGCTATGGCTGCCCCTGGAATGGACCCAAGATTGTTGTTGGGATCAAATTTAAACTCTGCAGCACCAGAACAGAATTTGAACCGAATCGGGAACCAGATGGCAGGGAGTGCTCTCCAGACACCTTTTATGGATCCAATGTATCTTCAGTATTTGAGAACAGCTGAGTATGCAGCACAGTTCGCAGCTATTAATGATCCTTCTATGGATAGAAATTATCTGGGTAATTCATATATGGACTTACTTCAGCAAGCTTACCTTGGAGCTCTTCCGTCTCCTCAGAAATCACAATATGGTGTTCCCTTGGTTAGCAAGACTAGTGGTTCAAATCATCATGGTTATTATGGAAATCCTGCATTTGGAGTTGGCTTGGCATACCCTGGCAGTCCCTTGGCAAGTCCTGTCTTTCCTAACTCTCCTGTAGCCCCAGGTAGCCCTATGAGGCATAGTGAATTCAACATGCGGTTTCCTTCCGGGATGAGAAACTTAGCTGGGGGTGTCATGGGACCCTGGCACTTAGATAATATGGACAGTAGCTTTGCGTCCTCTCTTCTGGAAGAGTTTAAGAGCAATAAGACCAAGTGTTTTGAACTTTCAGAAATAGCCGGCCATGTGGTTGAGTTCAGGTTTGTATTGTTCAAAATTATTTTTGTGCTTTACTGTTCAGCAATTCTGAAATCTAAACATTTAATTTAACGTCTATGATCAGTGCTGATCAGTATGGGAGCCGATTCATTCAACAAAAACTTGAAACTGCCACAACTGAGGAGAAAATCATGGTTTACCAGGAAATTATTCCTCAAGCTCTTACTTTGATGACTGATGTGTTTGGTAATTATGTGATCCAGAAGGTATATGAACTTCTGACTCTTTTCTGTGAAGGACATATGTTATGTGTGTCCACATTTCCACACACGTCCTTATGCTTGTCCTCTTCAGTTTATTTTCTGTGATTAATGATTGTGAGTTGGCTTCAGTTCTTTGAGCACGGAATGGCAACCCAGAGGAGAGAATTGGCTACCAAACTTTTTGGGCATGTATTAACACTTAGTCTTCAAATGTATGGTTGCCGAGTGATACAGAAGGTAACAGCAGCTTTAAAACTGAATTGCATTTCAATATTCCCAAGTCGCAATTTCTTCACACATGTATCTTATGATCTGCTACTCTGCCAGTAATATTATATAATCTCATCGTTATATTCAATGCTGACCCACATATATGTTCTGTGGATATGGATGGGGATATTAGTTTCTAAATTTGCTACCCTGTAAAATTTCATTTAGGAGACAAAATCCCACTCACAACAGTTCTTAGGTTAGTGAGACATCACTTGCAGCAATTATGGTGTTTGTCCATTGAACTTCCAAAATAAAATAAAAAAAGATTTTTCTGTTTGGAAGGAGGTAAGAACTTCTTCCTTTACTAGACATTTGCAATCTGCTATATGGTTGATACAAAATTCATATTCAAATGTGGTCTCCTGGTCTCTTTACTGCCCGGTTACACAAATTACAATGCTATACCATGACTAAGTGGTTCTGATTTGGTAATAGCTGTAGTTAGTGGCCTGTTTTCAACTTTTATCAATCTGCTATAGGTTATTGAACTCATGCTGATGTGATTTCAAGCAAGTACTCCTGTTTTCAACTTTTATCAATCTGTTATAGCTCATTGAACTCATGCTGCTGAGATTCAAGCAAGTGCTCCTGTTTTGCTAATAATAGACTCTGTTTAACCATTTAGGCAATAGAAGTGGTTGATTTGGACCAGAAGATTAAAATGGTTGAAGAGCTTGATGATCATGTCATGCGCTGTGTACGTGATCAGAATGGGAACCACGTCATCCAAAAGTGTATCGAATGTGTTCCTGAAGACCATATTCAATTCATTGTCTCAATATTTTTCGATCAAGTTGTGACTCTTTCTACCCATCCATATGGTTGCCGTGTGATACAGGTTGGGGAAGGGTACATCTAATTGTTAGTCTTTTCATGATTTAGACTTGTATATAAAAGCAGATAAAAATTGTGTATTCTATGATGATGTCTTTCGTTTGATAGAGAGTGCTAGAGCACTGTGTGGACCCAAAAACCCAGAGTAAAGTGATGGACGAGGTTCTAGGGGCTGTAAGTCTGTTGGCACAAGATCAATATGGCAATTATGTTATTCAGGTTTGTATCTTATCCGGAAAAAATTTATAGTATGGGCTTGGATGCTGCTGTCATCAATATTTCATATATCTAGCTATGTTGAAGTCATAGATGTTTTGATATCTTTAAAGCTATGTGCCTTTATTCAATGCTTGTGTGGTATAGTGAAATTCGTAGGCTATTCACTTAGGGTATGTTTGTTTGCAGTATTAAATTTGGGTGGTATTAGAAATCATTTTCATTTCACTACTATCCAATAGTATACTATACTCGGTCTTAAACTTATATCCATCCTTCCCCTTGTTTGTTTGTTCAATAGGTATTATAGTGGGTCTCACAAACAACCATCTATTCTATCACATCTTATATAACAAATATATCATTTTACCCTTAACATCTTTCATTCCATTTTACCCTTAACCATCTATACAAGGAAGAAATTTAAAATAATTTTTAAAAAAAAATCGATAACACCATACACTTAAACATAATATAAGGTAAAATTTAAAATAATTTTTTTTAAAAAAAACCGGTAACACCGTACGCTTAAACATAATACAAGAAAAAAATTCAAAATAATTTTAAAAAAAAAATAAAAAAAATGGTAATACCGTACGCTTAAACATAATACAAAGAAAAATTTCAAAATAATTGTTTTTAAAAATAATTAAAAAAAAAATCGGTGACACCGTACGCTTAAACATAATATAAGGAAAAAATTTAAAATAATTTTTTAAAAAAAATTAAAAAAAAAATTAGTGACACTGTTCGCTTCAAAATAATTTTTTTAAAAAAAATTTACAAAAAAAAACCGGTAACACTGTAAGCTTAAATATAATATAAAGAAAAATTCAAAGTAAATTTTTTATATGTGAACTCTTCACATAGGAGGGCATTTGTGTCATTTTATTCGCTTATACCGTCTTTGCACTTGTATCGGGAAGATAATAGCACCTGGTAGGTGGTATTGCTTAGTATCATATAAAAGGCATTAAAGTCACTGTTCACACCGGGTTGGTACTACGACCCGGAAAATAATATCGAGCAAAAAATGTCAAACAAACAAAATATAAAGTAGGCCCCACGTACTATTTCTCTAATACCACCCCCTTATACCACCCATATCCCGAAAACAAACAGCCCTTAATGAACAGGTCTTGCTACTAGATGAGATTCAGGGTTTGGAATTTGTTTTACTCATTTATTTATAAACTGCATGTAAAACATTAAACAACTCTTTGGGCAGTAGCATTGTTTAACTGTATCTTCAGGTGGCATTTTTCTGAGCACCTTCATTTGAATGATGGAACCATTTTCCCTTGATAGAGCTCTAACCAACTCGAATATATGGTTTTGTGACTGTAAAGTTGGGTATTATATCTAATTTGTTATACTTTACGGTTCCTAGAGGGGTGTTGTGCATGTGAGCATGCATCCATGCTTGAATGATAGTTACACGCACAGTCATCTGTCTTATTTTGATGTCACCAATTGAAGCCACTCATTTTGCCTCCAGTTGTGGACTTGATACATGTTTGTTCTATATGGGATGTATGTCATGGGCCTCATGTCACCTCCTTTTGCTCCTCTATGTTGAATCTTCTGTTGATCTTCTTTATTTGATATTGACAGCATGTACTGGAGCAAGGAAGACCACATGAGCGGTCTGCTATAATTCAGGAATTAGCGGGGAAGATAGTTCAGATGAGTCAGCAGAAGTTTGCCTCCAATGTTGTGGAGAAGTGCTTAACTTTTGGTGATCCTACTGAACGTCAACTCCTGGTGAGTGAGATGCTTGGCACAACAGATGAAAATGAGCCTCTTCAGGTTTGTCAAAGCTCCATATTCTTTCTGAATGCATGAAGCAAATATTATGGGAGATTGTTTCATGATTATATTTACGTATTGTCCCTTTCTTTGCTATTGTTATGCATCATTATCATATTGCAGCTTTAAAGTTTCTGAATTATTTTGCTTTTGAGTAGATCAGTAAAGCTGGAGTCACCATCCGTGTGTGTGTGTGCGCATGCCCCATGGTTCCAATCCAAATGAGTTAATTGGTTGCTTTTGCTATCTAATGCATTGTTTTAAGTGTTAAAATGCCCAAGTTGTGAGGCACTTTGCCCCCACTTACGATTTTTCATGAACATGGGTGGATCTACACTGGCCCACCCACAGATGTTGTCGAAAAACTATATATATATGTGTGTGTATGACTCGTGTATTTCTATGAAATATTTCTCAACTATATTTGGTTATGCCCATCCTAACACTTTCGAATGGATCCATACGTAAATGACTATCACTTTGTTACGGATATGCTTCGAACACATTCAAATTAGTTTTTGAAACATCGGAGGTCATTTTGTGTTTTTAAAAAATTACGAGATCATGTAGTTGTATAAAAATTAAGATTTTTGTATAATAAAATAGAGGATCATTCTGTAAGTACATAAAGCACAGGGACATTAAATAAAACACAAAATATTGAGACTTGAAAAAACTCCATATACAAACGAAATGAAGGGCGTATTGAGGTAGTTAGAGAGAAATCTAGACAGAAAACGTGATTGGCACAGTTGTGGGAACTGTTGACTAGTTGTGTCTTTCATTTATATAAGGTTCAATGAGTCACTGACAACACTATGCACGGCTTTTTTTCCCCATTTTTGACGACATTTGACCCTTGTATCCATTTTTTTTCCTTGTGTAGCTTGTTTTCTTGTTCTAATTGTGTTTTTTGATAATACGAAATATGATTGATCCGTATTTTTGTTGGTTTGTACTCTTAACTCCAATGCGAAATTGCTTGCAATTGATCTGGTTGGTCGTTTTTTCCCTACAATTGGCCTGTATATAAGTAAATACATATGTATCATTTAATTTTTTTTCATTGGAAAATTTTGATTAAAGCATGTAGTTAAAAGTGCCCAACCCATGATTGAACTCCTGGCGTAAAAGTAAATATAAATGTGTCTTATTATTTTTATTGACTGAAAATTTTTGATTAAAGCATGTAGCTTAAAAGGGCCCAACCCAGGATAATAACTCCTGGCTATGCTAATGTGCATACATATTACTCGTAGATCTTTTGTTTAGGGCCAGAAGGTGGGGATTTGGATTATTGGCTTATTGTGACATCTAATACTTTTAGGAAAAATGTGATGACATCATAGGTATTCTGGAATCTGGATACCATAAAAATCTGTATACAACCATGTTGTGCTTGACACTTCAGCAAACAATCAATTTGCACCATTTTCCAGAAGGGTATATGAGTGAGATAATAAATGGAAAATTCTATCCCGAAGGAAAGAAAGTGTGTTTTTTTTTATTAAGAGGTGCCACCATAGGGTGTTTAGTGTCGACCGGAGGTGTAGACAAGGTAGTTTCAAATGTTCCGTCAGAAGTAGAACTTCCTAGTTCCTATGTAGGCTACATTAATTGTGCTTTCTTATAGGTGTGGGGGCTCATCTTTTGTACTTTCTGATTGATGTTTATTCCTTTAGAGCGATAACAATTAAACTGGGAAACTAGTATATGTAGGTATGTTACGTGTAGCTTTGTATTGGGTGTCTATTTATGCAATGTATTGGAATATCTGAATTAGTGTTATCATTAAAACCAAATAGAGTTGCCTATAGTGTTTAGGGTAGAAGTTTTGTGTCTAACCATTTGGCTGATGCTGCTTGTGTAGACAGTGCTTTGGTTGCTTATCACATTGTTGGATATATATGTAAACTCATTTCTACTTTTCTTATTGTTATCTATTGTTTTGTATCCAGGCAATGATGAAAGATCAATTTGCAAATTATGTTGTACAGAAAGTATTGGAAACTTGTAATGATCAGCAACGTGAACTGATCCTCTCCCGGATAAAGGTTCATCTGAATGCACTGAAGAAATACACATATGGAAAGCATATCGTTGCTCGTGTAGAAAAACTTGTTGCCACTGGGGGTAGTTATTTCTTCCTTTGTGTTTCACCTATACAGATATTATTTTTTATCTTTTGCAATCATAAGAGGAAAATTTTATCCTATTGCAAATTTTTGGTGTAAGTTTTGTTCTGCCCTTCCTCACTATCGTATTGCTTCTTTAGGAAGTAGCACTTGTTACAAAAGCTTTTTTTTGCAGGGTAAATGTGTTTTCGTTTGTGGCAGTTTGAATTTAACTTGCTAACAGCTAAGAAATAAGTAAATAACTCACGTTTTATGAACTGCAACCTTTTTTTAAACCTTATTCTTTTTTTCCATAGTTGTAGGAATGCCATCCAAGATTCAATGGTGAATTTTAGAATTCCGAAATACCTTCACTGTTTTAAATCCGCCATTTGTAGAAGTGACTTGTGAATAAGAAACATTAATCTTCAACATATAACTAGCTCTCCAACCAGTCATTTCAATTGTGTGCAGAAAGGAGAATTGCTGCTCAGTCCCCACCGCCTGCTCAGACACTGTAGGAAAGAAAGAAGTTGTACAGCTAACTGAGGCTAGTTTGAGTCCCGGCATCTAGTGCTGTTGCTCTACCTATCTCTAAGAAAGGTATGGGCTTATTGCAAATAAAGTTGTTGCTTGTACACTGTACATTGTGTAGTTTACAGTTTATACATAAAATCTAGGCTCGGATGTTTGATGTTCCTTGATGCCCGTGCAGAGGAGATATAATGATGATACAAGTTTTTAAGGATGTAAAAATGATGAAAGGGTGAGGTAGTTTATAATGTAACGCTATTGTACAACTGTTGCCATGTTGAGAGTTGATGTTTTAGTTGAGGCTGAAATTTTCATATATGGTATTGACAATTTTCTGATGTGGCCAAGTATATGCTTAGGTCTCTTGATCTGTCTATACCCTGCTAGATTGTTTTGCTGTTTAATTCATGCATTTGGTAGATTTTCTCGGTGGATTGTTCTATGAAAATCTTCCCCCGCTTGTCTGTCTGTACTAGGATTCTGATGTTGATGGAATGATGTGGAAAAAATGAGAACTTTTTAAGGATGGTTCAAACCTAATCTGTTTCAGTAGGATTTTGGAAACAAATGGTTGTACCTGCCCAACTCCCCTTCCCATCCTTTTTGTCTATTCCCCTTGCCACAAAAAAAAAAAAAAAAATTGATTGGTGTAGCAACTATTTTTCCTTTTGTCAATCTTCATTGTAATATTGTAATTTCTGCCCCCAACTCTACGAAGCATATGGCATAGAAAAACACCAGGAAAATGTAATAGGTAACCCACATCAACGATCGATTTCTCTCTGAAACTTAAAAGAGTCCGCAGATGTGGCTTAGAAATTGTGCACGAAATAACTAAACCCACTTGTTAGAGCTCTGTTTGCAGCATCCATAGGTGGCGTAAAAAAACTCAGGATTGCTTCAACTTGAGCATAGCCTCTTGACAGGAACCAGGTTTGCATTTCATATAGTACCAAACAGTTTCCCACGAACTCATGGAATATGAAAGGTCCAAACTCCTCCTTCCCAAAAGATTCCAAATGGTAAAACTATTTAGCAGCCTGAGAGTAATGCAAAAATTTTTGCAAGTCTGAGTTGCCAACAATGATCACAGCTTTCAAGGCTAATTTTTTTTTTGTTCGACCAGTCACGGTGTTGAAATTAGTTTATGCGTATTTTGATTAATTTTTTCCTCAATTCAGTTAAAGGTAACGTCATCTTAGTGTATTATAAATTTCAAGGCTAACGAGGAAAAGCTAACAGTGAGTTCATTGAAGATTGAACATCATTTGTTCTCACCTAGGCTAATCAGTAAAAGCTAACAGTGAGTTCATTTGAAGATTGAATATCATTTGTTCTCACTAAGAATCATCATCATCCACACCATTACATGTAAACACTGAACAAAGATTAACAAAGACCCCAAAGTTTTCAACATCTTATAATTATAGTTACATTGAAGCCATTTGCATTCTAATCTGCATCCTCATCCTCATCATCAATCTTCTGACCAAACCCCCTGGGACCGGCTCTAGCTCTAGTTCTCACCTTCCCTTTCTTCGCACTCTTTTTCTTTCCTGCTTCTTCTTTCTCAAATTTGTCTCTCTCCCTTTTCTGCAAGAAATCTGTTACAGCTATGTAGATAACCTGGGTAATCCAATACTACCCCAAATTAGCAACAAGCCAAAACAATAACCCACATTCCAAAATTACCAATTCAAATCACCCGCAACAAGAACACTTAAAAAAATTCAAATAGAAAAGGCAAAAAAAAATAAAAATAAAACGTTGAGAAGTTGGTTTACCCCAACAGTAAGAATGGATAGTCCAACAAAAGCTATGAGCAGAAGAACAGATATGACGTAGGACACACCATCATCGTTTGTGGAAACTATCTGCTCAGAATTCTCAATTGGGTCTGCTTCTGAAAGCAAAAAATCTCCGGAAATAGCAGAAATTCTCCAAAACTTGGTGGATTTCGAACAAACGGCAATAATTGGTGTGCTTTGATTTCTTTTTGGGGGAAGAGCGGCTGGTAATGGCGGAGGTGAGGTAAATGACAGAGATGAACTGTGGGCATTGAGGGAATATAAAGTTTTTGGGTTGAAAATGGAGAAGAGAGGTGGCGGACATAGAGATATACGAGAGATCGTAGCCATGTGTTAATCTGCCACAGCTTCTCTCGGCTACTGAAAGGTAACACAGTCCAATCTCAACAAGGGGTTGGGTTGGACTGGGGGGAACTCTAAGGTGTTGACCAGATACAGTCTGCTTCTGTTTCTGTTAATAAAGAACCAATAGGCTATCGACAGCTGGATTCAATCTCATACTTCAAGTATCAATCTCCATTCTTTTTTAAACCACATGTAAAAATAAAAATTATTTTAACTATTCAAAAATAATATTTTTTTTTAGCTATTCATTTTTTTAATACATACGTCCACAGATTTTTTTATATTTTTAATTATTTCTTTTAAATATTGTTATTTATTTATTTTTGTATTATTTTTCTTTGGAAATAGTGAGAGAGAGAAAAAGAGAGAATGAAGAAAAGAAAAAGAGAAGAGATAAAATATTATAAAATATCTATATAATAAAGTAGAACGGTTTTGAATTTAAGAGACAAAGAGCAGTTGAGATCGTTTTATAACCAAAAAAAGACATCATCTAACAGACGGTGCTATCCTAAACTGTCTCGAGTTATTAACGTCTCAGATCGTTTCGATTCAACGTATCGCATTAACTCTTAAATTATTTTTATCCCTCAAAATTTTAGTTTCTAAAATTGACACCCCTACATTAAATTCACCAATTTAATCAAATTCGGGAATTAAGCGATCTGTCATTCTCAACTCTGACTCTCTCTCACTAAAATACAGATTATAACTCTTATCATTATTTTCTTGATTTTATTTCATATGTTAAGGATCACTTTCTATACTGAGACATTGACTGTCTCTTACACTCTCATGTTTCATGATTCTCTTTTCAAACTAAAACATATGTCTTCCCAAAAATCTATCCTAATACAATTGTTCTCTATCTTTTCTGTTCATATCACACACACATCTTTATTGTACATATATATAGTACAAAGATCGAAAATATACTATATCTACATGTTATATCTAGGGAAAGTTTTATCTAAACACCATTTAATTGAGTCAAAATTCAATGACAACTCCTATAAAAATAACTTTTATCTCTATCAGTACATAAAATAATGATTTAACTAAATATTTTGTGAAAATATTAAAATTATCCTTTATTATGTAAATAAACTAAAATGTCATCAACTCTTTCACCATTATATATGCGCTAGCCAGCCAACACACGTAATTTCAGTCATTATATTATCCCAATAATTTTTTTTATTTTAAAATGTTGTATTATAACTTTATTATAATATTAGACATCATATTATCACTCATTTGGTTACATAAAAAATATTTTATAATTTTTAAATTTTTTTATCATAATAATTTTTATGGTTAAAAATAATTTTTTTATAATAAAAATTACAATCGATAAAATCAATGTCAAAATCTCATATATTTCTAATTCCTCTACTATCATATGTCATTTACAACGTCGCTCGACCGCTCCTCACATATAATACTTCATATATAAAATTTAAAATTATTTGATAAAATTTAATATTAATTGAATAAATTTGATCTTAATTTTGATAAATTTAAATATTAATTTAGTTTTAATTTGATAAAATTAAATATTAATTTACTATTAATTTGATTGAATTTAATGTTAATTGAATAAATTTGAATGTTGTATTAATAAAATTGAATGTTCATTTGGTATTAAATTAAAGAAATAACTTTAATTTGATAAAGTTAAATTTTAAATTATATTAAATAGTTTAATTTAATAAAATTGAATGTCAATTTGATGTTGATTTGATAAAAATAAATAATAACTTAATATTAAATTAAATAAATATTATTAATTTGATGAAATGAAATATTAAATTAATATAACTAAACACTAATTTGATAAAATTAAATATCAATTTTGTGTTGATTTGATGAGATGAAATGTTAATTTAGTTTAAATTAAATAAAGAAAATTAATTTGATAAAATTGAAGATTAAATTGATCAAAATAAAGGCTAAAATAATAAACTAAAAGGGAATGTATTGAAATTTCAGAATTAAGAGAGGGTGTTGTTAAAATTAGGTTTATTTACCAGGAGTATTATTAAAGTTAAGTTTATTTATAAGGGTGTGGATAAAATTTACCTATAAAATACTCGGGGATATTTTTATAAATCAACCATCGGTGTAACTCAAGAATCACTAACAGTGAGTGACAACGAAATTTCAAAATCGAAAAGAGATGTCATTGTTTAGACCTAACTACAGGGGATCTAGATGAAATTTTACCTGATATCTATACAAATATATATAATAAAACACATAAGAAGTTGAATTAATTTGTAAGTCCCCTATATTGCTATACATTTTCCCTTATACTGCTATATAAAACACATAATTCCCCTATACTGCTATGCATTTTTTCCTTAAAATCATCACATCACTCATTTTTATCACATGTTTAACCATTTAATATTTGATTAATTTGTAATTTAACATAAGTTTTATTTCAGATATTGTCCATACATGATAATATAGATTTGTTAAAAGAATTTATCGAATTTCATATTTTGAGAAAATTTTGTCAATATGTTTAAGAAAATAATGGATAAAAATAAATTTTAAATGATTTAATCAAATAAATAAATGAAAGAAAAATTATTATTTAATATAGTGATATAGATTTTTTAAGACTCAAATTTTTTGTTCTATCGTGCCTTCAAACACGGGTAATGACTAGTATATAAAATAAAATAGTTTACAATTTAAATTCAAAAAGATAAACAAAATGATTTTTATTATTCGCAGTTAAAATTGTTTTAAATTTTATTTTAAAATTAATCTAACGGCTAATATTAGCACTTTAAATTTAATAGAAAAAATATGTCCTTAAAGGTGTGTTTGAAATGACTTTTTAAAAATATTTTTAAAAATTATTTCTCAAAAATATTTTTTTTAAAATAGTGCTTGAAACTATCCCACCATCACTACCACCGTCACCGCCACCATCCTCACTGCCACCACCCATAACCACCACCACAGTTGCCACAGTCGTCGTCGCCACTACCGTTGTTGCCACCCCCACCATTGTCGCCGTCACAACTACCACTACTATCATTGTTGTTGCCGTCACGCCACCACCACCACCGCAGTCATTGTTGCCACCATTACCACCACCACCGTCGTCGTCGCCACCACCACCATTGTCGTCGTTCTCGTCACCACCACAGTGATTGTCACCCACTATAACTATTATCCTCTTTTACAACTACCATTGTTGCGCACCACCTCTCACCCTCATTACAAATTGATTATTAAATTTTTTTATCTCTTCTCTATATTTGTTATTTAATTTTAAATATAAATACAAATATATTTTTTATTTTTTTATACCTTTAGATATAAACAATAACTAGTATATACATATTGTTATAGTTCCACTCTACATATAGAGTGTTATTATAAATAGTGTATACATATTGTTGTTATTATTTTGACTAATATATCTCAAGGTATAAAGGTTTAAAGGTATAAATAATTTAAAGAATTCGATTTCAAATAGATTCAGAGTAAACATATTTTAGTGAAGTTTGTCGTTAACAAAAAAAAGAAAAGAAAAAAATTGTGAGCAATGGATAGAATATTGAAAAGCTGAGATATTTAGAGAGAGAGGAACAAAAATATCTGGCTAAGGCTTCCACGTTGGCAGCTGGACAGGACCCATCTGGAATCTGATATTGCACTTTTTTCCCTCTTTCGGCCTGTCCCTTTCTGAAAGCGTCCATTTTTCCACTTATATTGATTCTCTCTCCTTTCCGCTTTCCGGCCCACTCCCGAAGCCCAAACCCCTCTCTCTCTCTCTCTCTCTCTGTGGCAGAGCAATATCTCCCAAACAGTTACGCTTTCTCTATCCTCTGTCCTTAATTCTCTCTGACTTCCAATTTAAATCGGAACACAAATCCCTTTAATACTAATAGAGTGATTGATCTGAAACAATCGATATGGGGGAAGAAGTGAGAATCACCGACTATGACGACAACGTCGGTGGCGGAGACGAAGACAGAGTTTCGGAGTGGGAGGTGGGCCTTCCCACCGCCGATGATCTAACGCCGTTGTTTCAGGCGTTGATTCCGCAGGAGCTGGCCTCGGCTTTTAGTATTTCACCGGAGCCTCGTCGGAGCGTGCTCGACGTCAATCGAGCTTCCCAGAACACCCTCTCGAGTCTTCGAGGACAATCCCAAGCTTTATCTTCATCGAACAACTTCAATTTCAAGTCGTTCAACGAAGATGGAGCCAGAGACGCATTGGTTGTGGAAGGACACGATGCGGATCTGATTCGAGAAGGTTCGGATTCGAGAAAGTTGCAAAATATGGAGGGCGGTGGAGGCGCCGAAGAAGCTGACTCGGCTTTGCGTACTGAGAACTGCTCCGATGATCCATCGGCTAGAGCTCTGAAACGACCTCGTTTGGTGTGGACTCCGCAGCTGCACAAAAGGTTCGTCGACGTCGTGGCTCATTTAGAAATCAAAAACGCGGTGCCAAAAACGATTATGCAGTTGATGAATGTAGAAGGATTGACTCGAGAAAACGTAGCCAGTCATTTGCAAAAGTATAGACTGTATCTGAAGAGGATGCAGGAGGTGTCCAATGAGGGGCCATCGTCGTCGGATCAGCTGTTTGCTTCCACTCCGGTGCCGCAGAGCTTAAATGAGTCCGGTGGGAATGGGCATGGACAGCAGAACAATAGTAATAATGGGCACATGGGAATGCCTATTCCGATGCCGTATCCAATGCAGATGGTGCCAATGCCAGTGCTTGGGATGGCTCATCATGGGCAAGGGCATATGGGAATGCCGGTGGGGACTCCGGGTGTGCCTGAGGGTTTTCATGGTGGGTATGAATCTCATCATCATCCATATAATATGGTGCATCAGATGGATTGGTCTGGGAATAATTTTGGGTCTGTTGCTTCCTATCGCTATACTAATGATGATAAATGATTAATGGACTTGGTTGATTACGAACGAAGAGGTGAGTTTCTTGATGCATTGGTGGTTTAGTTTGCAATTTCATTGTTATATATATATATATATATATCTTCGGGATTGAGACTCGGTGAATTACAGCTAGATTTTCTTTAGACCATTAAATATGTTTGATTGGTTTATATACATCAGTAAGTAGTTTCCACTACAATCTAATGTATGCAGCTGGATTTTATTTTCCTAGATGTGATGAATGACGCTCCACTTTGAATTTGATGATACAGGATTTAGAGCTTCAAAGCTTTGAGTCAGTGAAACACAAGTAGGACTTTTTGTAGACAATTTACTGGTTTTTTATGGTTGTAGATCAATAACTAGTTTTGGCTGGAATTTACCGCATGCATGATTTTATTCAGTATTCCTGATTTGACCTGGTTAAGAGATTCACCTTTGATAGCTTAAAGTTAGCTAGTAGAAAGAAATATTGGGTTCTTGTCAAATTCCATACACCAGGGTATGGTGGTGTGAACAAAGTTCTAAGGGAAACACCTCATTAGGGCATTGAGATGGGTGGTTTAAAGATTACTGATTAAAAATGCTGTAGTTCAAATTCCTCCTTTTTCTGGTCGGTAGTCAATCGCTTTGTTTTTTCTTTGTGTAAATTAAAATACGAAGTGAAGAATCGGATTTCTTCAAGTATATATTAAGTGGGCAGTTGCTGACTTAAGGATCATTACCAAATTTGGTCCTAAGTAATCAGGGATGATGATATGGATGAACCTAAGTCCAGACCTAATCTTTGGTGTTATTTGCACAAATGATTGTCCTCACATTCAGACTGATTACCTTATGATTGTTAGCTCAATACTTTCACCACCGCACCCCTAACTGCCAAGACCAGTTTGGCACATCAGATATAGCCTAGAATTTAATATGACGCTATGTAAAACAAATAATTCACCAACAAGTTTTCTGTCAGCTAACACATAATGATCCAACCCGAAAAAAGTTACATGATGCTTTTTCTTAATCATTCTATTAATTCAGAACTAGCATGTGCTCACCACGCACCATCATCCGTCTCCCTGTCCCTGACCCATCACTGCTCGCTTCAAGGGTGCTGTCTTCTCTTAAGACCACTAGTGGTGATTGGAGTACTTATTGCCTGCTTCGTAATGAACTACATGCCTATGTGAGCTCTTTTCTATATACAACCACTCAAATCTTGCTGCTTTCATTGACGTAACTTCTTGTCTTGAGGGTCCTAAGACAATTTGTGGCGATTAGACAATTTCTTGTGTGCTTCATTATAAGCTACATGCCCATGTGAGGATGTCTTATAGGTACTACTGCTTCAGTCTTGCTGCATCCATTCTTTCAACTTTTGGTTGATAGCAGGTCTGGTAATCTTTCTGAATGCATTGTTTTTTCACCTTGAAATTATTTGCTTTTTCTGTAGAACTAGGCCATATTCTCATGTTTGCTGCTTGTTCTTGGGACTTTCGTATCAGAGTTTCATCAACTCTTAGCAAATGCGGGTCATTATGCTCTGTTGGCTTGGATAAACATCTTTCTTGAGTCGACTATAATGTTTCTGCCACTGCTGTTTCTTCATGCACTCAGATATTTGGTTACTTATTTTTGCAATTTCAAGCTGCCTATTTTTCGGCTAGACATCCACCAGTTTTGCATATTTATAGTGCTTATTATTGATAATTTCCACTTCATGGGACATTGCATCTACCTTTCCCCGTCATGATTCCTATATAATTGTTGTCATGACTGCATTAGAGAGAATGGTATGCATCTTCCCTAACGAAAACAAATATGCGAGATTGTAGTCTTTTATGAGATGGTGTAACTGTTTTATACTGTGTTTGGTTATGACTAGAAATTTCCTGATGGCTAAGTTGTACAAAATATGGTGTAACCTTCAACTTCTATGTAAACCAAATGAAGCCATTTTCATAGGGGCATCTAGATGTGAAGTCATGTTTTCATTGGTAAAACTGAGTACCGTAAGAGAAATATTTATGCAGTGATGTTTTATAGATTGATTTTTCTAAATCCTTTGCTATGTATATACTGAGATTCCCCTGCACGTTTTCCACTGATTTCGTACTTCATGCTTTTCTCGTCAAGGATTGGATAAAAATTCTAGAACATCTATGTATTAAGCTTTACTGCTTTACCCTATATTCAGGAGTTTTGAGAAAGTTGCAGAACTTTACGAAAGGGACTCAGCTTCATTGTAGCTTGATTGGTAGCCACGGACCTTCAAACATGGGAGAAGTTTTAAGGAAATCATTATCAACTCTGAGGTGTAAGAGTTCCAGTGTTATTGGGGATTACTTAAGAAAGAGATGATAGTACACACTACTCTTCTCCAAAAAATTTATGGGATGCAGGAGTGGAACAAAGTTTGTGGTGAAAGAAGTCAGTTCTGCCAAATGCAAGTTGATAAGTATATCCCTGACCCGTTATTTGATTGATAAATTGTCTGACTGGATTGAACCTTCCTTTTTAGCAACAAATCAACTGTCAATAACTGAAATAAGCAAAAGTTTGTCAGCAATCCTTGAATGCTGTCTTAAGTGTCTTTTTATTGCCTTCTAGGAAAAACAGTACTAGCTAAATTAGCATGAATAAATCCCTCGCTGTGTGCACGATACTGCATAATATAAATACGAGAGCAGATTTCTTCCGTGGTAAATACGAGTCCGTCAATCGAGTGGTCAATCTTACTACTTGGAACAGGTTGTGAGGACCAAAAGTGGCCAATGAAGTGGTGACAAATTGTTTTTAGAGGTCGCCTGAGTGATCCTGAAAAGCTAAGGGAGGTTCCTGGAACAAAGAAAAATAGGTTAGAAGGGCGTCGAAGTGTTTTCCGGCGTATCTTTTACGACGATCAAGTCAGTTCCTTGAGAGAGGAGACGAATAAAACACAGTATGATGTTTGAGAAAAGATTTTTTGCATACCTCTTTTATGTGTTTGTGAGGACTATTTATACCTTAAAAACTCATCATTGCTGATAGCGTAGCTAGTAGATAATTATTGGAGGTGAGCAGCACACCAATTTCTATGAGTAATGTTCTTATTCTTAACTACTCAAGACCTCGAGCAACTAATGCTTTCTCCTCGGTCTGCCGAATGTTTAATGACCTTCCCTTAGCGAGGGTGTATTAAATGTCCAGGCTTTGGGACATTTATTACTTTTCACTTCCAGGTTCTCATGCATTAAATGCTGTCTTATCAAGGGAAGGGTGCATTAAATACTTGTTTTTTCAAGTCATGTGTCAGCAAGGGCATTCTGGTCTTTTTGTCTCTGATCTAACACAGTACGCCACGTGCCCATTCCCCCTTGGTTGAGCCTTCTATTTTCTTGTGCCTTCTGACACCATTTGAGTAAGACAAGGTCATGATGACTAGTCTAGCCTAGCCTAGGCTAGTGATCTGTCTATCAATAGTTCTACAGGAGCAGAAATGCTTCGTAGACGGATATACCTCGGTGTCGAGGGTCCAGCATCGCTAGGGGCCGATGTACCCAAAACTGATCGAGGGATACGTGTCGGTCTATGGGATACTGGGAATCCTTGATCCTTGTGAATAGTATCTTCGGGGGAAGGGGGATTATGGACCGACGCGCAAGTGTCGTGATTTGGTCGGCGAGTATCCATTGACACCGAGGACACGTGTCGTCATCTTGGAGTATCTAAAAATATCTCATCAATTGCCCCCAACTTTCGATCTTTTGACACCAAGGACACGCGTCGTAAGAAGACGAAGGGTTCTGCAACTGTCTCAACTACCCCATCATTGCTTCCAGTCGTTTTTCGCTGCTTAGGAGGTCGTGCGCATTAAATGCACCCCTTTGTGCTTGGTGCCCAATGATGGGGACAAGTACTATATAAACGAACCTTCTCCTTTTTTTTCACACTTTTACCACCTCGAACTCTCAAAGAGCCTTCATCGGAGACTTCGTCGGAGACACCTTTAATCACATCGTTTACCAATCAGTCATCACCGGAGTTTGGATCAGCAAACCCCCTCTTACTTTCGAACCTTCCTCGAGAAAGAAACCACTCCAAGTTCCTCGGAAATCTTTGTTTGCATTTTGGTGAGTCCTTGCATCCTTTTTTTCGTTCTTTTTCTGGGTTTTGCTTTTCATTTCTTGAAAATCGGAGGTGTTTCTGGTTGTTGTCGTTTTGACCAACCCTCAGGAAATCACTCGGGGTTCCTTGTAGGAAAACTCTTTCCTTCCCCTTTCCTTTTCATTTTAATTGGAGATGCCCCGTCGCTACCCTGTCACTGAGGACCCCCAGGTTAGTTCCTCGAGGCCAAGGAAGTACAAAGTGAAGGGAGACCAACAGATCGATAGGTTTAGGGCCCGGTATCACATTCTCCGAAACGTAGGTATAGAAGAGTACGATCCAGTTTTGCATAACCGTAATCTCGGAGCCGAGGATGAGATGCCCTTTTACACCAAAGCAATCATAGAGGGTGAAATTAGGTTCCCTCTGCCTCCTCTACTCCTCCAATTTCTTTCCCATTTCAACATCTTCCCCGGACAGTGTTGCCTTAATGTCTTTAGGATAATAATGGGGGTTCTAGAGCTTAATAACTGTCTGGGGATAAACGTTAGGTTCAACGATATCCTTTTTTGCTATTCCTTAGTTGAGGGTCATGCCTCCGCAGAATTTCTACCTTAAAGCTAGGGATCCATCCATGTACCTTGTAACTCACCTCCCTGACTCGGACAAAGGGTACAAGGATGACTTCTTGATCTTCAGTGGATCTTAGGAGCGGGGGACCGGTCCCGAGTACGATGGTCTAAGGTGCCCTTTTGAGTAGAGAACGACAAGTACGTCGGCTTCTTCAAGTCCAGTTTTTTACTGTCCTTAGGATATTTTATAAGTGTTAATAACTTTTTTTCTTGTGCAGACATCTCCGCCCGAGAAGTTGCCCCTCCTTCTCGGTCTTTGGTACACTTTGCCGACCTCATAACTGTTTGGAAGTTTGTCGGCAACGACGAGTTTGGCCGGGCCACTCATCTTCTCTTGGACTACACATCAGAGTATAAGAAGTTTTCACAGCTCCCCCAACTTTTCAACCCTTCGCAGTGGTCTGAACTCTTTGATCAGACAGCGCAACAAGAAGTCGAGCAGAACTTGGAGGAAGACCTTGACAGGACTACTGAGGCGAAAGTAGAGGGCGTCTTTGTAGTTGAGGAGTTTGAGGCCAGAGAGGCTTTTGTTCCTTCGCACGTCGAGGTGGGGACCTCAGGAAGAGATTCGTGGCCTGACTTTAACATCCTCCAGTCCCTAGACGCAGAGGACGTCTTTGAGGTAGTCATATCATACACGCCCCGGATAGACCTGGGTTTCCTGAGGCAGCGGTAGGCCCTCGTCGCAGGGAGAGGACGGGGGTCAACCAGCAGCGCCCCATCAATAGCGACCAACGCCAACCCCCCACCTTCGAGGGTCGCTAGTCGGGATCAGGTGCTTGATCGGGATTCCCAAGTTGAGAAGGAGAAGAGGACCAAACAAAGGCATGATGACCTTGGTAGGGGAGTTAGGGCCCCCTTCACTCAACAGCAAAGCGGGAGGGGCCGTGGGTTGCCCCCTCCACCTCAGCAGCAGTAGTAGAGACAGTCTCCACCTCCCCCGTCGCAGACGGTGGAAGCTGTGGAGTAGAACTCTCGGGCTACTGATCACATGAACCGGATGATCAAGGTCAACGATTCCATTCTGCAGGACCTCCATGTCGCCAATGTGGTGAGCGAATCGCTCCACTTCGAGGCCGACATGGAGGCTCACAAAGGGCGGACAACAAACACGTTTCGTTTCATCATTTAGAATTCTTTGATGGTAAGTTCATCCTTGGTTTAGCCTTTCCTTAATGTATCACTCACATATTGACCAAGTTCTTTCCCTCGCAGGCCACCCAACAAATCTCCATAATCGCTGCGCGATACCATACAACTAAAATGGACCTCCAACAGACCCAGGAGCATAAGGAAGAGGTTGAAGGAGCGTTGGCTAGTGCTAAGGAGGACGTGGCTGCCAGGGACTCCACCCTCGCGAGCCAGGCCATTCAGATTGAGCAATTGCTCAAGGACAGCGAATTGGCGAAGGTCGGCGCTGAAAAGCTAAGTGTCGCCTTGGCCGATTCAGAGAGGAGGATTACACAGCAGACGCAGTGGCTCTCTGCGGCTGAGGTGAGGGCCGTCGGGTTAGAGGAGAAATGTCTTGCTCTGACCTAGGAGCTGGACAGGATCAAGGCTAAAGCGAAGAATAGGAAGTCTGAGGAGCAAATTCGAGAGGAGTTTGCCGATGACATACTACCCGCCCTTGAGGAGAACAGTAAAAAGTCCTTCAAAAAGGGGTGGGATGAGACGCTCTGAGTTGCCGATGTCCTCCCAGACTCTCCACTCTTCCAGATGCATAACTACGTGCCATCGGCAGAGATGACGCAGGCCGAGGTCGAGATTGTTGCTGAGGGTGTGGCCCTAGTACCGATTCAAGTTTTGGCAGACCCACCTGAGGTGGTAATCCTCGTCTCATCTGCTGAAGCCCTGCTAGAGTCAGCCTCTTATGCTTCCGAGTCCAACATTCCTCAAGTCCTGCCTGTTGCTAATCCAACTTCGCCTCCCTTAGAAGCTGTCCATCCTTTTTGCGTTGATTCTCCTTGCAGCGATGTGTTGGAGATGCCTGGGGCTAGATGAAAAATTCTTCTTTCTTTTTGAACTGTACATTTGCATTTGAATATGTATTTTTTCTCCTGTCCTTGTAGCTCTCGGGGATGCAAAGCCCCGTTTTTAGAATGAATGGCTCCTCTTTCATTATTGAGCACTTGTATATATATATATATATATATGGCGTGATGTTGTAGTAACTATTGGTAACAAAATATCTTCATAGCTTGACACCTGGGGAGCAATTTGGCTGATCCACCCGATTGGTTCAGCTTTATCATTCCTGTGTCGTACGCCCTCTCAGGGTAGTGTCCTCCCCAGGGTTTGTTCCTCGGACTGCCTCCAGGGCTTTGCCCTCCCCAGAGCTTGACCCTGTGATACTGCCATTAATAAGTGCTGAGAGAGATAATACTCAAAAATAGTATTTCTTCAGATTTATCACATTTCAAGGCTGTATTATGGATTTTTCTCTCATATCTTCTAATTTATATGATTCGGAGCCCCCTACTGACACCACTTTGTAAGGTCCTTTCCAGTTAGGTCCCATCTTCCCATCCGCTGGGTCTCGAGTATTGGCCATCACCTTTCTGAGGACCAGGTCGTCGACTTGAACTTCTTGTGCCTTGACTCTTTTGTTGTGAAGTCTGAAAATCCTTTTATGATATTTGGCCATTCTCAAGGCAGCCATTTCCTTTCTTTCCTCTGTCAGATCCAAATTCAGGTCAAGTTGTTGGTTATTGCCCCCTGTGTCGAAGGCTTGAGTCCCACTTTTAGAGGTATGACTGCCTCCACCCCGTAAGTCAGGGAGTAGGGGGTCTCCCTTGTCGAGATCCGAGGGGTGGTCCTGTATGCCTACAAAATGTTCAACAGTTCATCTGCCCATTTTTTCTTGGCTTTTTTCAATATTTTCTTGATCTCGTTGATGATCGTTTTGTTGAAAGATTCTGT